CATGAAGCAATATATTAAAAAATAACAGTACCATAGGCAAAACAAGATTAGCTTGGAGTTCAAAGTCAAGTCCACATTAGAAAAATCCATCATGCCTGGCAAGTGCAGGGTCCTGAGTTCAATCCTTGGTACTGCAAAAAAGAAAGAAAGAAAGAAAGAAAGAAAGAAAGAAAGAAAGAAAGAAAGAAAGAAAGAAAGAAAGAGAAAAAAGAAAGAAAAAGAAAAGAGAAATCCAGCAATGTAACCCATGACATTAACATATTGAAGACAAAATCTATAACCATCTCTGTTTTAGCAAAAGTAGTAAAATATCAGTATTTATTTTATGGTTTAAAATACTACTTTAAATACAACTGCAATAGAAGGGCACTACCCTAACTTGATAAAGAATTTTTACCAAAAAATCACAACAAATATGATAAATAAAGATGATACATTAGAAACATTCTCTATGCAATTGAAATAGGAAAGCAAAGCTTGCTGGTCTGGTGAGATGGCTCAGTGGTCTAAAGCACCTACTTAGAACAAGCTAAGCTAAGCAAAGCACAGGGACTGTGGTTCAATCCCCCAGCGCCACATGCCAGCCAGCCCCGCTCCCTGGTGGGCTGAGCTGGCCACACACAAATAAATAAATAAACAAATAAATTTTTTTTAAAAAAACTTGCTATCACTCTTCCGTGGGAAGTCCCAGCCCATCCAAAGAAGAAAAAAGGGGAAAAAGGTATAAAGAGGGTTAGCTACAGCTAATGCAATTATCTATGTGGAAAATACAAAACGATCTGCAAATGAACAATGTCATAAGAATGTTCAGCATACTTGCCTTTAAAACAAAATTATTCCAAAATCTATCGCATTTCCAAACAATAATAATAATCAATTTTTAACTTTTTAAAATCCCACTTATACTAGCAACAAAAGCTATAACATACCTGGCCAGACATCTAACAAATAAACTCAAGGATTTTATAAACATATTATAAAATGTGATTGAAAGATACTATTTTGAAAACTAAGAAAAAAAAGACATTGCAGACATAACAGATATCATGTATGATTCTGTTATAGGTATTAGAGAATATGGCTTACATCTATAAGCAAGGACCCTTCCAAGACCAAGTAATTTGTTTACCAAGTCTCCAGCACCACTGGAGCATGCTGTAGGACAGGGTTTGCCCCAGACAGGAGAAGCAGAGGAGGAGAGTTCCCTGGAAAACTAGGATACAAGAAAAGGAGGGAGAAAGGGGCTTCCCTCGCCTGGGCAGCTGGGCAGCTGCTCCTCGTAAACAGTAAATCTCTGATAAGATAATATGACTGTTGTTTTCATTACGTCCCTTTAAGTAGTTATGTTCTCATGCTTCAGAATAAAACTTCTTCTTTGAAGAAAAATCCAATGGATTGAAAATAAATAATAAATAAAATGTATCAATAAAATTAATTGAAAGAAAAAAGATATTATAAAATGTTATTGAAAGATATTTAAAAATCAGAATAATATTCAGGCATTGATTACTAAATTTTATGAAGATGTCACAGCTTGCCAAATTTAATCTGTAAATTTAACTCAACAAAATATCCCCATATTTTTTTCATTAAGGAATGTGACAAAGTGATGCTAAGGTCATACAGAAGACTTTATATATTCTCATGCAGAACAGTACAAGTCCAAAAGGGGATGGCACAATTTTAAAAATGAACAAAGAGGGGGCCATGTCCTTCTACACATCAGGACTTCTTATAAAGCCACAGTAATTAATTAAGTATGTGACCCTGACTCTGAATTGGTTTGATCTATGAGAAAGGGCAAGCCAGGAACATATTTATGAATATATGGGCAATTTAATTTACAGTCACAGTAGCATTACACATTAATAGAGACATGAAGACAGTTCTGTAAATCAAGTCATGACAGGCTTTCTACACTGGGAGTGAGGGGCAAAGTAAAAAGTAACTCCTGCTTTATACTATTCAGAAAGGTAAGGCACACACAGATGGATTTTATGTGGGGCAAAACAAAACTTTAAAAATAAAGGTAAAAGACATAATAGGATACCTTCACACAACAGGTGTGAAGTCCCCTTAATAATACACAAATGGCACAAACTATTAAAAAGAGAGAAGAGTGAATAACACTGCATTTTAAATTTTCTATAGTACAAAAGACATGAAAAGTGAAAACACAAGCTATAGACTGAAACAATATGTTGAATGTTTAGACACACAAACTCCCATAAATCAGGGGAATAAAAAACACACAGCCTATTGGAAAAATGAATGAACACTGAAAAAACAAATCACAAACTTAGAAAAACTTCAACAGCCAATAAATATATGAAGCACTCAACCTCACTGGCAGTGAGGGAAATTCAAATAAAACAAGACACTGGATTCTTTAAAAATCAAACTGGCAGAAATAAGACAAGTCTGAATTGAGAAAGGACTTAATGTCATCTTAGAGAAATAAAAACTCTTGTACACTGCTGAGCAGTGTACAAATTGGAAAACCATTTGGCAGTTGGTAGTAAAACTGAAAATGTGTGTGCAGCCTAGCAATTCCTCATCTAGGTAGATACACAGAGAAATTCTCACATAGGTACAAGGGAAACATGGATAAGCAATAGCAAAATATTGGCAGCAGTTTAAATATTCATCAATAGGGGCATGAATAAACAAGGCATATTCATATGCATGGATTAGCAATATGGAGATTAAAATGAATGAACTGGGTCTATATTTATCAACATGAAGAGCAAAAATAAAAACATATCATGAAGGGGAAAAAAAACAAACCACAGAATGATATCCACAGTCTAACATCACATATGTCTATTTTAAATTCATTTAAAGCAATATTCCACATGAGCTCATATGCAGTGAAAGTGTAAAATCTCAATTGGAAAGTTACATGCCAAATTCATGATGATGCCTGCCTTTGAGGAAAAGAGGGATAGAGAATGTACTGCACAGAATGCTTCAATTGTATCAGAAATGTTTAATTGATTTTATATAGTAGTTCTGATGCAGATATATGACAAACAGTAATGTTCCTTAGTTATATGAGACTGGTACATGGGTCCCTATATTTCCCCTGTGTTTTAAAATATCTTTACATTTTTTCTGAATATAAAATTAAAAGAAAAACTGCTAATAAAGAATTCTGTCTTGCAGATTTTGATGTGTGGATTGTGAATGATCTGAAATTTTGAGGTAAGGAACTTTCGCAAAAATTCTAAGTTTTAAAATAGAATCTCCTTAATAATAAAGCTGACAATATTATTTTAAAATCACTGAAATGAATAAAATAGATTCTATAGGCACCTACGTGAATAATTTTAAAAGTCACACTGAGGAAGAAAAGCCAGGTATAAAATGCTATGCACATTCCTGTAACATTTATGAAAAAATTTAAATAGGTAATCATGGGTGGATAGATATTTATAAATATACAGGTCACTGACTAATGAAAGTGTAGTACCAAATGCTGCTGGGATATACTATTCACAACACTGATTGCCTCGGGAAGTTAAGGAGGGAGCAAGGTGAGTGGAACTGTGGAGGAAAATAAAGTGACATTCAACTCTGTAACATTTAATATAAATAAAAACCCTGAAGCAAATATGACAAAACCACCACATTTGATTTTTCTAGTCAGTAAACACATGAACGTATGTTACTCTTGTTGCATCTGTATTTCTTAATTTTCAGAAGAAAATGTACTAACGTTAAAATAAAATGTACATGATTCATTATAAAAGTAAAAGCCTGTGTACATCCAAAACTGCAATGCCTGCTTTTTAGAATTGTCCTGTTTGTTTTCTACGCGTTTTAATTTTTTTTTAAAAAAGGAGCAAAATGAAAGCAATAAAGACATGTAAAATAAATTACTCATATACTTGATTATAAAAAAGAAAAACCTCCACAGGCATAAGCACCCTCTAAGCATTCTATAAGCATCGGCTGCATTTTCTTATTTTTAATTTTTATCAAAAGAAAAACAGAAGATGTTGCCTAATTGGAAACGTGACTTTCTATTATTGAAATTGTGGGAGTCCATTTTAATGTGTTTATCTCGCTGCTAGTCTATAATTTATATTTCAGCATGAAAATTTGTTTATATGTCTGTGACAGGTTAATGCAGTTTAAACATGCATTTTTCTTTCGTTGGTTGAATAGTTATATCGTTACTCAAAGGATTTTAAGTTTCAATTTCAACCATGAGAGCTTCTTTGCTTTTCCAAGGTTAAAAATGTTTCTGGTTCAAAATGCTATTAATTAATGGCTGCGTAGTGGATCTATTTAGAGAACTGCTACAGACCCCGGACTGCAGTTCAACTGCTAAATGAGAAAACTTTTTTTTTTTTTCGGATGCAGACAGGGATATTTTCAACGTGGTCTGCAAGCGCAGAACGGGAGCGAAACGTAATTCCTGACCACTTAGCTAACGATCGCGATGACGAATCGCAAGACAGGTCAGGTATTAGCATATTTTTTTCCTTAAATAAAAAGTTTCGCGGACTGCGCGGGACACCCAGCTGGCGGAGGACCAGCGGACGCGGGGGGGCGAGACCGGCAGGCTGCCCAGAAGTTACGATCGCGGAGTTTTCGCTGTAAGAAAATTACCTGGCTTGCCAGCAGACGAAAGAGCGCGGAGACAAGATAATTTCTTAGGCTGTTAACAATGACTTAGCCGGGAGGCCGCTCGTTCCGGGAGGGGGTCGAAGGGGTCCTGCCGGCCGGGGCGGTCCCAGCGCCCCCGCGGCTCCAGCGCGTCAGGGGCGCGGCGGGCGGGGCGG